CCGCGTTGGATTTCATAAGATAGCAATGATCCGGCCGTGGAAACGGGAATTATGGCGGGTTGGATCGCGATAAGGGGCCGAGACGTACGTTTAGCCGTGGTTATCGCACGAGTTTACGCATGCAGACCGGTGTAGATTACTCGGTTGATTTTGCACGCGCGCGAAAAGCTAAACGCTTCACGCTCTAGAAATATAATGGAAGTGGCCACCGTGTCGAAGATAATATTCAATTAAGAAAAGAAATATTTCTCTTCGAAAATTTTCAACAATTTTCAACGGGACGCTTTGTCCATCGAGCCTGTACATCGAGTCATAATCGCTTACCAAAAATCGATTTTCCTAGTTCGAAGAGCAAGATGCCTTTAAATTGTCGAAAAACAATAGGAGATTATCGATAGAGTGTTTGAAAAAAAATTGTTACTCTTAAAGACGAATAAATTTTCTCTCGTGACAGGTTTGTTTAGATTTACGTCTAATGGAGATGGAAAAATTTATTTTATATCGATGTTCGCAATTTATTTGTTATTTTTACTCTGTTGTACAGAGTATGCATCTAAACTTTTTGAAGTAAATGAATAAATAAATAAAGTTAAATAACCAATTGAATTGAGAACCACTGCTTAGAAGAATTCCACTATACGAATCATAAATCTAAAAAAAAATTTCCTATTTAAAAAGGACTGTGTGACAATGTTCTTCGCGTTGTACAAAATAAAAATAAGACTCAGACCTGGAAGAAAAAAAATATACTATCGAAAAAAGAAAAAATCCAAGGATAAAACGCCACGTTTTCTCTGGCGTCCCTTTTACGAGCCAAGTAAACGGAAGTTGAGAGCCACTGTTCGGAAGAACGCTTAAATCGAGGCGCCGCCGCGACTTCCGCCCGGCGCGAGTCGCGCTCCTACTCGCCAAAGTATTTGTCATTCGGGGGGAAATTAATTGTAAACGAGTTATCGATTGCGCCACTCGGCGCGCGGCTTCATTGTGCACACGATTCGAACGTTCAATGATTTATTCATCGATCCTCGTCCCATT